TTGGCCTTAGTTCTGGCCTTTTCTGGCCAGATCCACGGTGGATCTGGCCAGAAAAGGCCAGATCGGTGCACACCCCAGATTCAGCCGGTAGTCGCCATCCTACCAGATTCCCGCATTTTCCGGTGGTGGTGGCCGGAATCTGGTAATGTGGATTATTGAGGTGTTTTTGTAATTTAAAAAAATATTTGGGGTATTTAATTATTATCAAATTTAGGGGTTTAAAAAAGTTGAATATATTTTGGGGATTATTCCCAAAATCTAGAGTTTTTGGGTATTTACTGTTTAACTTTTTTGGAAATACTAAAAGTATTTCCCAAAACTGAAACAACACAGCCTAAGGTTGATTGTGATTTTAGAATATGTTGGGTTATATTGATTGTATTTTTATTATAATTTTATAGGGTATCTGCAGTAATACTATTGAAAATCTTTTCAAAAGCCTGGCCGGCTAGTCCACTCATAGTTCTGCCCATGCTAACTGACGGGACTGCAGTAACATTTTCTAATTTTACTGGACCGAAGGCGCTGCAAACGCTACTTCATGTCTTGCATATCGAACCGACACCGTTTACTTATTCACCACGGACTTAAAATGACGTCCATATTCCATTAATGCCTTCAGTACATTTAACGGATTTGGGGCTTCTTTGTTAGTAACCGTTCATTATTTTAAACATATTTGAAAATATAAGGTTTTTAATGAATTTTGTTCTTGTTTTCTATTTTTTTAGAATTTTAAAATGATTGAAAAAATAGAAAATAAAAACAAGTTGGACATGTTTGTTTGAAAACATATTTGAAAATTTAAGAAATAAAATCGCATTCAGTATATTCTGAAAAAAAAAAAACGAAATTTATCGCTCATATAGCGAATAAAACTCTGTCAAATATTACTTTTTTTGTTTTTCTTAAAAAGCTTGTCCCAAATATATCAGTTTTTAGTTCTCACTGTAATTGTTTTGTTAAAAATCTAGATTCAAATGAAATTTTATATCGTAATAATGAGAAAAAAGTAATAAAATTGATTTTTTTATACTAAATGAGACCCCACAGGCTGCCTTCTACTCTCCCTTTGCATTTTTGTGAGACTCAAAATTAAAAGATTCATAAACGAAGAGTTTTTTAGCATATTTTAAAATCGCACTGGTGCTCGTCACACAGTCGTGTCGTTAAAACCAAGTTGGTCTAAATTATTTATATAAAATTACAAGGAGTTTCTTTGTTATAAAATAAGTCAACTCGTCAATCTTTTTCAAGGTTTTTCTCTCTTTCTCACTTCTTTTCTCCAATTCATACAATACACAAGACTCGAGTCCTGTCTCTTATTTTTCACAAAACATTTAATGCTTTTATATTAGCCCATTACAACACACACCAAACCGAATGTACTGACTCAATTAATATAAAACTCTTTGGTGTTGATAAAAAAGAAGATTGTTATGAAATGGTGGCCATCGCCGCTTCATGAGCATGAAAGGGAAGATTTCTTCGGGTATATTCTACAGTAACATTACTTTTTTCAGACAGTCAATGGGAAAAACAGACTTAACATCCCCGTTCGCGTTACTTTCTTAATATTTGGCCGCCTCTTAAATTACACTGTACCACTACAATAACACGTACCGCCCCTCTTTGTGTCTCTCTGGGTGCTGGGTTTCCGATCTGTCCTCTCGCGCTACTCCGAGCTGTAGTGGAGCTTGTCCACTTATTGTGTCAGCGCGGTGCGGGATCTACCTTAGAAATAGGATGAGTGATAGACGGAGAAGGAAAAAAAGCGGAGGGGAGGGAGAGAAAGGGCCTATAACAAGATCAAGGGAGAATGATAAGGATCTAAAAAAGAGAAAAAATGTACAATCCTGGCACTGGGGATGTGGTCAGGGGACGCTACTTACAAATCACAAACAAGGGAGGAGCTGGGGATTGGTATGTTATATTGCGGGATTGAATATAGCCCCAGATGGCGGCCTATTGTTGTCTTGGTCGGTAATGGGCGGGTGTCACATCGACATCGCTTTTGATCCAAGGCGCGTGGTGTAAGTGCCATGGTCCAAGGCCCGCATTGTCCGAAAGTTGTCGCTCTATGAAGCTCATTCATTGCTCGAGGCCAGGTCGATAGGACTAAGGAAGGGAAGAAGAGGAGGGAAGTGGAAGGGGTGAAAGGATAGTTGGGGGGGGGGCAGGGAAATAAGAAAGGAATCGATCGTGGGGGGGGTTTCGTCGGGGGGGCCGGCCCCAAGGTGTGTACAGGACGTGGGGATGCGTGCGCGCCGTGCTGGACGTGCGGGGGGGACGTGGGTGCGTCGCGAGTCGCAAACAGAGGGCAGAGGGGAGAGGGGAAGCGACAGGGAAGGGACCGGGCCTGGGAACTAGACGGCGTAACTAGCAGGGGGATGCGGGACGGGCGCGGGTGTGAGGGGAGCGGGGAGCAACGGAAAGCGGAAGAAGGGGGAGGGGAACCGCAGGAAAGGAAGGCACGGCAAGCCTCGGGGGGCGGGCGGAAGCGCTGGGCCACGGGAGGGAGAGGGAGGGAGGAGGGGGAAAGGAAAGGGAGGGGGAGACCGACGGGGGGGGGGGGAATGGCACCGGGAGCGGCAAGCTAGTCGCAGCGAGGGGCGAGCAGGGAGCGGGGGGGGCAGACACAGGGAGACGAGAGCGACGGGGATGATGTAGCAGAACCAGGGGAGGAAGGGACTGCCCGCGTAGAGAGGAAAGGAACGGGGGAGCAAGAAACAACGCGGAGCCAGAAACGAGGCTACAGGGCGACGGGAAGGAAACTTATTCACACAACGGTTACATAAACTTAATACGAATATAATAGTGGGTATAAAGTTTATGCAAAAATAGAGTAGTTATTTATAAGGCTCCTTTATATTAAATATGTATGATTGGTGTTGATGATATGGAAATTTATAATACTTAACAGTGTAAAAACAAAACCAAGAAAATTTCCTAATTACAAATTAATTAATGCAAGTACCAATCAACACCTCCACATTAAACTACAATAAAATTTCTACTAATAAAATATTCAAAGATTTATCTAGATTTTATAGTAAAATATTATAACTTTTGTTGTAATTTCACTTTTATGTTTCAACCCCTTAAAATAATGCATCAAAGTATATGTTTTTAATATTTATTTTCTTTTCCCAACTTCAATATTTTGATATGATCCATCTGTGGGTAGTCTAGATGATTAAAACGAATTGACGATAGTGTGGATACGCATACGGCCTCAGGTATGCTTCTCCATCTGAGCATCCAAAATTTAAGTGGAGGGTCATGGCGGTGTGTTGTAATTAAGCTAGCCCTTATATATATATATATAATTGAAGTTCTGTAAACATCCTTACTAGTGTAGATTTTTTATTGTAAGGATGGACTTCGAAATCAAGACATTGATATCCAATAATGGTTGAGACATTTATATGGTAGATAGTGCAACAACGCACATCATTCTTCGGGATAGAAAATTTTATTCAAGTTTGACCTTTACTAAGGCTAAAATAAATATCATAGCAAACATAATTGAGGGCTCTGGAAGAGTAACACTCTTGTTACCAAACATAAATGAATTAAGTATCCACGATGCTTTATATTCTAGCAAATCCAGAAGAAATTTGCTTAGTTTTAAAGATATACGACTTAATGAAAACCTTATTGAAACTTTAAGTGAAAAGGATAGAGACTTTCTATGCATCACTGCTAAGAATTCATGCTAGAAGCATGTAATGGAGAAACTCCCTACTTTCTCATCAGGGTTATATTACACATTCCTGAAGAATGTTGAAGTCTATGCAATTATAAACTAGAAGTTCACTGATCCTTAACTTTTTAAGATTTGACATGACCGTCTTGGTCACCTAAGATCCACTATGATGTGTAGAATCATAGAAAACTCACATGGACACCCATTAAAGAACCTAAGATTCTGTCACCTATAAGAGTGCTTGTATTGTTTGCTCACAAGGCAAATTGGCACTTAAGCCGTCCATCACTAAAATTGTCTAGAACCCCATCATTTTTGTAAAGAATCTATGTGGACCTATTCATCCACCAAGTGGACTTTTCTACTACTTTATGGTACTGATTGACATATCAGCACGATGGCCATATGCTTGTCTACTATCTACCCGTAATGTTGTCTTTGCTAGATTGTTGGCACAAATTATCAGATTAGGGGCACACTTTCCAAATTGCCTAGTTAAAGTAATCTGTTTAAACAATGCTGGTAAGTTTACCTCAAAGATATTTGATGACTANGAGGAGAATAGAGAAAAAGAGCATTTTCACCTTGTTCGTTTAACAAAATTGGGATGTCGTTTGTGTTTTGGTCCTCATTTGATTAGATTTTAAAATTATAGATTGTTACTCAGTTAAAGCCCGCTCGTGCAAAAAACGATTCTCGGCTGAGGTGAGTGCACTTAGAAAGTAGATAACTGTACTCAAAAAGCCCGGGTGAAGGCCCAAGATGTAGAGAGCAAGAAATATGAAGGAATAAGTCTGTCCGTTTAACGAAGCCCAATAATAAATACGATTATCTTTCTAGAATTCTTTGAAGTTCTCTCTTCTTTGTTTTTCTCTCCATCCAAACATTAGATTCACACATCTAAATTCTAGAAAAATCAATTAAAGTATTCTCATAAAACAGTAGATTATTTTAAGTATTTTATCTATTTATTGCTTTATTTCCAGTCTGTGAACGTCTCGTAAAATAAAAGTTATTGATAAAACTACAAATTTTTCGAGGTTATAGAAATTGATTCAAACCTTTCCTGCATTTTTATTCAAGCATGTAGTGATTTAATATCATATCTGCAGGTAAGATAAAACTGAATATTTTGCAGATCACATATATGGCCACTTCTTCATTACATATATTAGAAATTGAAGCTAGCTCAAAATCCATTATTCAATGTTTGACTAGATAACTACTAATTAGAATGATCTTAAACAAGAAATTAAATTCATAAATAACATACACAACAATATAACATTATTTAATTAGGTGCCCCAACATCTTTATGAAACTGCAATTTGATCTTCTTGAGTTTTGCTAATGCATCTTTCATACTGATCCTCTGTTCAAGTGACTCCATTGAACAATTCAAAGCCAAGTCCATGATGCTTAACATGCAATTCACTTTGGCATCAAAAGGATTCTGGTCTCTCAACAAATTAGCATCCACAACTTCAGTCACTGCATGAGGCAATGACGACTCTACCAAATTCTTTAAACTCATTTCTCCAACAAGCATCTCATCTGTAGGCTTCTTTCTTGTGAAAGTTTCCATCAATAAAACACCGAAGCTGTAGACATCACCTCTTGTGGAAGCAATCCCCATTGATCCATACTCTACAAAATTTAAATTTAATTTCATCATAAAAATAAATGATCGGTATATAAGATTATAATTGGTGATAGACCATATGTTGTATGTGTGTGGTTGGATATTAAATGTGAACAGTTAAAATATAAATTTGAGGTTTAGAGTTGAAACATCACCTGGTGCCATATACCCAATAGTGGCTAGTGTTGTGGTTCGTGTCTTAGAATCTCCATCATTCAAGAGTTTTGCAATACCAAATCACTCACATGTGCAACCATATCTTCATCTAGTAGGATATTGTTGGGCTTCAAATCACAGTGGATGATAGGTGTTATATTCAACCTTTGCAGCAAATCTAGAAAATAGTTGTGAGAATACAACCACTTTTTAAGGCTACCATTTGACATAAATTCAAGTATCAAGGCCTTAAAATCAATATTACTACAACTGCTCAGGATTTTTATGAGATTTCGATAACGAATGTTGTGCAACACTTCACATTCAGAGTCAAAGCTTCTAAGTACTCGCTCTACTTGCAAATTAAGGACCTTTATCGCAACATTAGTCCCATCTAAAAGTATCCCTTTAAATATTGTACCAAAACTACCTGTACCAAGCAAGTTGCACTCACTAAAATCATCAGTTGCTCGTCGAATTTCTAGATATGATGTTCTTCTTCATTTTGCTAAAGGTAACAAATCAACTTCATCAATTGGAGAATTTTTTCTTCTACACCGACACCTTATGAAGACAATGATGACAATCACTATCAATAAAATTGACAAGATCGAAGGAAAAATATATTTCAATACAAGTGTAGTGGTTGTCTTAGATCGTTTGATGGTGCCACCCGCGCACAGAGGTACGCCTAGCTTTGGTGATCCACATAATGCTTGATTTAACAAAAATGATAGAGCTGAAATGTTTCTGAAAGGTCCTTTGGTTGGAATTTCTCCTTCTAACCTATTAAGAGACGTTAAACTTTTTGAGAAATGAGAGCGACTCTAATGACTTAGGAATTTCACCTGAGAGACTGTTGTTTGAGAGATCCAGTGATACCAAGCTTATCAAAATGCCAAATGTGGTAGGGATAGGCCCGTCAAATTTATTGTCAGCCAAAGATAGAGTTTCTAGAGTTGCAATGTGCCCGAGAGTGACAAGAATATTCCCTGATAATTGATTCTTTGATAAATCAAGAACTCTGACATGTAAATTTTGTAAGTCTGAAGAGAAGGAACCACTTAAAGAATTTGATGACAGATTTACTTCCAAGATGTCTTTAAGACTCCATAAGGCCGATGGTATATCAGAAGTCAATCTATTGGAGTCCAAGTAAAGATATCTTAGAGAAATCAATCTCACCAAGCACGGTTGTATGCGTCTGGAGAGATCATTGGCACTTAAGTATAATTCATAGAAATTCTCTAAGATACAAAGCTCATATGGAATGGATCCCAGCAAATTGTTATTTCTGAGATTTAGACGTTGGAGGTTGGGTAATCTTCCCACAGTTGTTGGCATATATCCATTAAAGTCATTCATCGAAAGGTCTAAAACCAACAAGCTATGCAAGTTACCAATTTCTACAGGAATGCTGCCCTTGATTTTGCAATTCCTTGCTCCAAAATATTGAAGATTTGCAGATATATTCCCAATTGAAAGGGGAAGGACGCCATACCATGGATTAGAATCTAAGTAAAGAATTTCAAGTTCTCTGCAATTTGTCAAAGAAGAGAGAAAACTCCATTCTGTAGTGGGTGATTCAGTGGTCAAGTTATTTCCCGCAAGGCTAAGCAATTTAAGGAGTCTCAAGTTGCCAAATGTATTTGGAAAAAGGCCAGAAAATGAGTTTCCGTCTAGACTTACGAAAGTGAGTTTGGAAGCATTGGAGATGGAGTTGGGGATTGTTCCAGTAAGTTTATTGTGCCCTATGGTAAGACGCACGAGGTTCGGAAGCCATTGGCCAAAGCTTGATGGTAAACAGCCCGAAAGGTTATTCAGGGATAGATAAATTTTTTCTATGGTTGAAATATTGAAGATTGATGCTGGAATTATACCAGTTAAGCCATTGGAACCTAGGGCCAAGTCTCGTAGACTCTGCAAATTCCCAATCTCGTCTGGAATTTCACCTGCCAAAATGCAAACATTGATGCATAAAGCCTTTAGCCTTTGAGATACCTTAAAGGAGTTTGTGAGATTCAGTTATAAAATAAAAATAAATGTTTAGTTAAGAAACAGTACTATTAATACCTAAAATACATAAACTGAAGCCAAGATAGTACCTGTCAGGCGATTTTCATCCAGACATAAAAATTCTAGAGAAGTACAGTTGTTGATATTCTTTGGAATAGTGCCGCTGATCATATTACGAGAAAGTCTAAGGTGCCGAAGTGCTGGAAGATGATTGCAGATATCCGTTGGGAGACTACCGAATAGGCCACTGTTGCCAAGATGAATTAACTCCAAAGAAGAAATATTGAAGATGCTTGACGGGAGGAGACCAGCTGTAAATTCAAGATCCAACGTAAAAAATAATCAACCTCACACAAACATTTACATTAAATATATTTTAAAAAATTTAAACTCTCACCAGCTGCTAAATGGTTTAGTCAATTCTAACTCAACATTTTACTCATTTTTGTTAAAAGTTTGGTTACCGATTATTTGAGTTGTAACTTATTGAACATATTTATTTTCTCCGTATTAAATATAAAGCTAATTTTTCTTTATATATACAATTTTTTTTTTTGAACCACAATATTCTAACTTAAGGTTATTTTTAAATATATGTTTGTTAAAATTTGACATTTCAGATGATGTATTATCATATATAATATTAACTATAAATAAAGTAATGATTGAAATATTAAATTTTGAGAGAAGAATATTACCAGTTAAACTATTGGAACCGAGAGCTAGAAACTGTAGACCTTGCAAATTGCAAATTGTCAATCTCCCGTGGAATTTCACCTGCCAGAGGAAAAACGTTGGTGCTTAAAACTTCGAGCTTTTGGCCAACTTTTACAGTTACAAGACATTAAATATGAAAATTAAATATTGCTTTTATAAGATTATACTAATTGAAGAAAATATTATGATATTAATATATATGTTAATGGACACATCAGCTATATGCTTTAAAAATACCAAAGTGGAATCGTGTACCTGCTAGGCTGTTGTCATTAAGATACAAAAGGATAAGCTCACTCAAATTTCCAACAGTTTGTAGTATGTGTCCTGTGAATTTATTATATTACAATGACAATATTTGAAGCTTGCTGCAATCACCTAAACTCGCCGGAAGCTGGCCGGAAAGTCCATTGAGGGATAAAGTAAGCGATTCAAGGTTTGGAAGATGATTGCAAACATCATCGGGCAGACTGCCAGGCAAGCTATTGTTGGTTAAACTAAGACTTTGTAATGAGGAAATGTTGCCCATGCTACTCCAAGGTATGGTGCCCGAAAGGTGGTTTCTTGCCACGTGGAAAATTTTCAAATTGGTGAGCTTCCCAATCTCTGACGATATTATTGCCTTGTAGTCTCAAGACCTCAAGCGTTGTTAAATTGAATAGTGAATTTGGGATGGTACCGGTAAAATTGTTATTATAAAGATACAAGAAGTGAGTTGTAAAGAATCGTAAACCAATCAAGCAAACATCAACCAAAAAACACACAGTCAACGCAAACCAAACAGATTCAACACACAGTATTTACCGTGGTTCACTTATTCAATATTGAACAAGCTACGTCCACGTTGAGCTCCAGAATATGGATGCTCGCTGCACTTTCTATTTCGATCAAGAACGATTACAACCCTCAACCTCTCTCTCTTACAAGATTTCAACCAAGATCAAACAGGATTTGAACCAACAACAGTAAACCTACAATCTAAGATAAGAACACTACATCAGGTTCCCTTCCCACTAAGAAACACAACTCAATGGACAGATTTCCCGCAGATTTACACCCACATGAACAAACCCTAATCTTGAACCCTAATTTGTAACTCAGAGAGACATTCAACAGAGAGGAAAAACGCGTTAATGAAAAACTGAAGAGTCATCAGCTTTTATAGGTTTGACTTAGCCTTAGTCCTCAGCCGTTAGATCTGGATTCAAACCAACGATCAGGATTGAGCGTCGGTTTAAGTCACAACGGTGTTGTTTTGGAAATTCTTGTCTTAAGTTAAACGGTGTCGTAATGAGGCTTCACATTTAACAATCTCCACCTTGAAGCCTTATTCTTTCCTTTGTCAGTAACCAGTAGGTGCAGCAAGCAGTACTCATACTCCTTCTTTGCTCTGCTGAATTCAGTTGATGTGAAGAATGTTCAAGCAGTGCTTGAACTTTATAGCAGTTACAACTTTGGTTCCCATATCAGATGGATTTTCTTCAGTTGAAATTTTCAGCAGGTTGACAGTTCCCTTTGAAATCTGATCTCGGACAAAATGATACTTTACATCCACATGCTTCGTCCTCTCATGGTATACTGGGTTTTTACTTAGATGAATGACACTTTGACTGTCAGAATATACAGTCACAGGGCCATTCATCAAGTTTATCTCTTTCAAAATCCCTTGTAGCCAAATTGCCTCTTTGAAAGCATCAGTTACTGCCACATACTAGCTTCTGTTGTGGATAGTGCCACTAATGGTTGAAGCTGGGATTTCTAGCTAATGCAGTTTCCACCTAAAGTGAAATAATAAGCTGTGTGGACTTCCTTGAATCACGATCTCCTGTAAAGTCAGAATCCACATACCCAACAAGATCAAGTGCAGGAGTTCTTTTGCAATACTCTAATCCAACATGCATTGTAGTGTTAATGTATCTAAGTGTCCATTTTAAGGCAACCCAATGCTCTATTCCTGGATTTGACATAAACCTACTTAATAGAGATATTGCAAATGAAAGATTAGGCCTAGTGCTTATCATTGAATACATCACTGATCATGGCACTAAAGTAGGGATGTTATCCATTTTCCTATCTACATCAGTTTGGGGGATTGAACTTTGCTTAGATGAAATGACTTGCTAATGGTACATTTACAGTTTTAAGCCCAGTCAAACCAAACCTGGATATAGTTTCTGCAGATATGGATTGGTGTAGTTTCAGTCTATTTTCTTTTCTATTTCTATCAATCATCATCCTAATATCCTTTTTGCATCTTAGATCTATCATCTCAAATTCAGCATTTAATTTTTCTTTTAATTCATCTATTTGAGGTTTGACTTACTGATTATTAGCAATCGTCTACATATAGCAGTAATACATGGGTATGTTATTAAAACAAGCATAATACAGACAGCTATCATAATCCTAATGAACTCAATTCCCACTATAAAGGAGTCAAATCTTTTGTACCACTGCCTGGGGATTGTCGATTCCATACAGGACTTGTGCAACAGGCAGCAGGCATGCTCAGGTAGGTTTCTATCTCTAAACCCTAATGGCTGACTCATATAAATTTTCTCTTCCATTTCACCATGTTAAAAAGGCTTGTTAACATCTAACTGTTCCAGTTCTAGATCATATTGAGTTACTGCAGCTAGCATAAGTCTAATGTTTTAACTTAACCACAGGAGAGAAAACTTCTGTAAAGTCTATACCTGTCCTTTGTGTGTAGCCCTTTGCCACATTCTTGCTTTGTATCTTGGAGGGTCTGACCTTGTTGGACCTTCCTTCATTTTATAAATCCATTTGCAGTCAATTAGCTTCTGGTCTGTAGGTTTGGGACCAGAGTCCAAGTGCGTTTTGTCTTAAGGATTTCATCTCCTCCTTCATTGCTTCCAGCCACTTTTACTGTCTTTTGAACTCACAGCTTCCTGATATGTCTCTGGTTCATATCTCAGTGTTTCTATCCCAGCCACCAAGGTTGTGTAGATCAAATCTGCATAGCTGTATATGTTTGGAGACCTTATTTCCCTTATGACCCTGTCTCTAGCCAGTTGGTATCTGCTAGGTTCTCATCCTGTTCTTCTCATTTTATTCAAGGTTGCACAGTTTTTCTCATATTGATCCCCAATGTTTTGTAGTTTGTCATTTTCTGTTTCTGTTTGTTCGGTTGTTCTAAGTGCTCTGGCAGGTTTTGTGGCTCCACCTCAACTGTGTCTCTCTGTTTGATCAAGTAGTTCAGAATCTTTTTTTGAGTTTCCTGCTTATCAGTAACCCTGTACAAGGGAGGTTAGCTCATTAAAGACTACATCTCGACTTATAATGATCCTAACTCCTAGTGCATTTTTCTCCCACAACCTATAACCTTTTTACCATCCTGGTACCCTAGGAAGCCACACTTTAGAGACTTGGGTTCAAGTTTACCTTCTCTGGTATGTGCATATGCTGCACACCCAAAAACCCTTAGGTGATTTAGGTTAGGTTTTCTTTTAGCCATCTCTCTCCAAGGCATTTAAAACCTAGTAATGGATGGACTTCTATTGATCAATAAGTAGCTGTAGTTAGGGTTTCTCCCCAAAAGGTCTTGGGTAGCCCAGCAATAAACAGAAGACATTGACTCTTTCTAGAGAGTCCTATCCATTGTCTCTGCAACCCCATTCTGTTGAGGGTTGCCCGGATAGTTCTATGCCTTTGTAGCCCTTGGTTTTGGCAGTAGGTGTCAAATTCTAGGTTACAGAACTCCAGGCCATTATCAGTCCTAAGGGGTTTTTGACCTTTCTCCAATTGTGTTTCTACAAGTGTTTCCAACCTTTGAACTTGGTTAGGGCTTCATCCTTAGTCCTAAGGAGGTATAACCCACTACCTTTCTACTGTAATCATCCCAATGGAGAGGAAGTAATGTTCCCTCCATGTGACTTCACCTTTCTGCCCCCAAAGTCAGCATGGACATAGTCTAGATAGTTTGCAGCAAGATGAGTCCCCTTTTGAAAACTCATCCTATGCTGTTTTCCAAGGATGCAGGTTTCAACAAAATCTAAGTTGTACAACATCACTACTGCCAAATAACCTTGCTGTTTCAATGCATTCATACCATTCTGGCCTATATGGCCTAATCTCAAGTGCCTTTTGCTGCAGCAGATATGTTAGTAGACAATAAAACAGAATTAGAAACATCAGGATAGAACTGTCCACCACTATATAGAGACCATTTTCTTAACCCCCTTCATTAACACATTTCCTTTTGTAGACTTCCATACAACCATTTTGTGCCTTATAAGAACAACCTGTTCATCCAAGGTTCCTAGGAAATTAGGTTTCGTTTTAATTCAGGTATAACCTGACCCTAGTAAGTAATACTAACTTACCATTATTTAGCTTAATGTTATATCACCTATCCCTTGAACCTCATAGGAGTGGTTATTCCCCATAAAACAGTTTCCTGCTCCCCAATTTTAAGTCTTTGGAACCAGTCCTTGTTAGGGCTCATATGGAAACTACAACTAGATGTCTAGTACCCATCACTGCCTCTAGATGTATTAGAAATGGTAAGGGTCTCTGATATTTCTAGGTTTACTAGAGCTGGCTAGGTTTGTCTCTGTACTGTTCTATTTGTTCTTTTTAATCCATCATAGTAATGTTTCTTTAGGTGTCCTACCTTGTTACAGAAGAAACATTTCCTAGTTCCCCTTTATTTCTACCATTTCCTTTACTGTTCTTTATTTTTAAAGCCTACATTTCTCGGTGAGTCTTTCCATTTTCTTACTAGATTGCCCAACCTCAACTTTCCCTTTTACAAACAATTGCTACCATTATGCTTCTGGATCTTAATATCTAATTCCCTAGATTTTAGTCCAAACTATCAGGTCCACACAGTACTGTCCCATTATACTGGAGTGCATCTTAACTACTAAATATTCTTCATAGTGAATTCAACAGAATCATAGCAAGGCTTGAGTCTCCTAGTTCCTGGTTAGTACCTTTTAGGGTTGGGGTCATTTTTAAGAATTCATCAAGATTGTCACCTGGTGATTTATCTATATCTATCTTTAAAAAATAAAGCACCTTTCAAGAAAGCTAAA